TAGCCAGTGTGCATGAATACATCGAAGGCTCTGGGAAGCTCTGGGGCGGTGGGGGGCGGGGGAGAGAATGAAGGTGTTCAGCGCATCTCTCCCTGACTGTGTCTACCTGTAATCCCCATCGTCCTCTTTCCATGGCCTTTTGTCACCCCCTCGAATGCAGTTTAGGAAGTGCACTTTAAAATACCTTGTCTGTATACCTTTATTTTAAAGCAAAGATTCTCTGCCCCAGATTTTGGTCACTGCACCAGCCTCATGGTTTGGGCCACACCTGTGTCCCACCTGCATTATTCTCTTTTCAGTGTTCTTTCAGTCCATTTTTGAAAGGCTTTGAACTTCTTTTCAAAAGAGTCTTTATATCACAGCAATATATGGAAAATCAGTTTCTAAAAAATCTAGAAGAGTATCTCAGTGTTTAAAAAAAATAAAAAGATTGGTAAACCTCTAAAATGATCTTGGGAATATACCACATTTGGAAGATTCTGTTTAAGTTCATTCGCTGTGTGTGTTTCTCCTCTTTGATGGAACTGTGAGGAAGTTAGCTCCCACTGCCCTTGAGAGTGGAGAGCACTGGAAAAGTACTCAAGGGTGAGTGGGGGAGGGGGATTCCTGCAAATTTATCTCGGTGAGGTTGGTTTCTTGCTGCAGTTGCTTGGGCCATGACAGACCGGGTCTGCCTGACAGAACCTCTCCCCATTCCTCCTTGTTCTGTGGTTTTCTCATCATTGCCCTTGTGATGGCTGAAGGTACCCCTAGTTACTTGGAGGCAGATGGGTGAGTTACAGCTGAAAGACCAGATTCTTGGAGAGGTGCTAGCCTTGGTAGGTGGATCACTGACTGGTCCCAAATGGGGTGAGAAGCGCCCAGCTGCATCTGGAGCAGGAATGATTATGCTCTGGTGGACAGGGAGAAAGCGGTCGGGACCCTCAGGACTTGCTGGTGGCCCATGTTAATGGAAGGTCTGAGTGTAGGCAGTTCTTAGCAACAATAGCATCCCTGCCCCCAAACTTTCTAGATGGTTTTTTAGATGGTCGGTCAGGGTTTGTTATTAAATCAACTGTTGGTTACAAAAACAACTAGATGAGGTAGGGTGATCTTCAGCTGAGCTGTGTCCTCCTAGAACGAAAGAAGGGGAAAATCCTATGAAATGGAGAAGAGGGAGTTGCTCTAAGGTCTTAATGGACAGGGTGACAAACACCTGTGTGTCCTTGATCAGCGCTGTCCTCCTCACAGGCTCACCATGCAGGAGTTGCCAGTGTAGATGGGGTGGAGGTGCCTCCCTCCATACAGGTGATGGGGTGGCCTGCTCCATAGCAGCTTCAACTTTCCTCCTTAGCATTTCCTTAGTAAGTTCTTTAAGGCTTAAAAAAAAAATACTTAAGAGACTAGATAGTGACAGTGTTTTTTGCCTGCAAGCATAACTTTGCTATAGAAGATGAGGGAACATAGCAACCACAAGAGAAAGAGGCCAAAAGTAAAAGCCGTATGACCTTATCGCTCAGAGGAGTCTATGGGGTACCGCCCATGTGCACCGCCATCATCATACTCCCTCATGTGCGTGCACACATACACGCTGGGGGGGGGTGTAGCAAAGAGGTGAGGCCCCCTGGCTCTGAAGACACACTGCCTGTGAGCTGATGTGCCCAGAGCCCTGCTCAGGCTTTGGTCTTCCCTGCTTACTTGGCCCCTTACCTGTTGAGGCTGATGGGTACCTGGTGGTGGGACCTGTGGTGGCTTGAAGGACCTTGTGGGGGGTGGGGAATGAGCGAGCCTGCACCACCCTTCCCGTATTTTTCACGTACTCAGAGGGCCTCGAGCCTTTTTGTAGTCAGGATTCATTTAGGTAACTAATGCATTCTATTATCTCATGAGGTGTCATATAAAAAAGCATTTTTAATTTGCTAATCATAATAGACCTGTGTAATAAGAATGATGGACTCTCTATGGCTCTTCTAGCTCCCAATTAACGTCCTGTCAGCTGGTTGCAAATTAGTTGTCCAGAGCCTGGGAATTACTTTCTTGGCCTGCTGATGTGCTTTCTTTTTTTTTTTTTTTAAAGTTTATTTTTGTTAGCAATCTCTACACGCAGTGTGGGGCTTGAACTCATGACCCCAAGATCAAGAGTCGCATGCTCTTCTGAATGAGCCAGCCAGGTGCCCCAGTAATGTGTTAAGTTTTAAACAACAACAACAACAACAACAAACACAACTTGTTGGTGGGGCAGGAGCTCCCTGGTTTTCATAGCCTCCTGCCCCCTACTCCCTCTTAGTCCTGGTTGGTTCTGCTTCTTGGCCTAGCCTGTGGACTGTAGTGGCCATCTAAGTCTGTATTCCATCTTAAGAGAGGCACAGTGGGAGAGGATGCTTAGGAGCCTCAGTGAAAGCAGTGGGCTGGACGGAACTACACACACGTTCACACGCACGCACGTGTGCGCATACACACTCACATGCACACAGGTTGCGCCCATATCAGACTCCTGGTTTTGCTTTTTGCTCCACTGGGGAGACAGGGCCAGGGGCATAAAATCTCTCAGTATGATCTTTGCAACTTCATGTGAATCTGTAATTACTTAAAAAAAAAAAAAATTGAACCAAAAGGGCCTCGTCAGGTGTTTTGAGTTTCATTCATAAACAAATCTAGTAGCCTGAAAGTGTTAACTGCCCACAAAAGGCAAACAAGTTCATAGGTACAAAATTGTCTGGGATGAATTTATGGCGCCCAGAGGTGCTCGTCCAGTGGCTTGATGTACTCTGCGCTTTCCCTTCATCTCGTTTGAGATCAGTTTATATTAAAAACCTTGGTTTTAATCTATCACATCTAATTTTGCACATTCTGCCATGTGGAAGATGCTCTGCCATGAACCCTAGTTAAATGAGGCCATAAAGAAATGCAGATAAATTGCTTTCCTTAGTTTTCAGGTCCTATGTGACTTGAATTCACATGTGGAGATGAGGAGTAGGTTGGGATGAGTGACAAGACTCTGCCGAGAGAATCCAAGAAAACACGCTGTATGATCCACGTGTATCGGGGAATGTTTCCCTTCCCCAAACCTTTCCGGGACTTGTTAGTTGCTTAGCTTCAGACGTTTGCTATTCATATCACGGAGGAAGTTGCAGACACCTTTACAAACATCCGTGAGAGGCTGTCTAGGAGGAGGGAGGGGGGTGATGAAGGGACTCTTCTGTGGTTCTCTCTCTAGAGCTTCCGAGATGAATGTAGCCTTCTCAAGTGACACCTAAGTATATGCTAGAGTCTGCAGTTGGTGCTGTTCTTTCTGCCAAAAGTACAGAAAAGCAAAATAGCAAACACAGGGCTGAAGTGTAGTCAGATGCATGGAAAACAATACCTATGATGGGCAGCCGGAAGTTTATACCCGGAGTAAATGTGTGGCGCACATCCGTACCAAGGAGTGGCATTCACATCCATAAATAGGGGAGTTAGAAACTGCCTATGTGGTGAATTGTTAAAGGAGACAACCCAGTTGCGGAAAAATTTATAATACCTGGTTTCACAAAGTAACCTGTATTTGAGTGTATTGGGTTTGTAGTGACTATATGAGTGTAGAGGAAGGCTTGACATGTATACACTGGGTTTTCACCACTGGTTACCATGAGGAAGGGGGGTGAGTGGAACAGTGAACAAAGGGAAAAAGACTTCAAACAAAAAAATGAAAGGAGTGTGAGAAATGTTTCATCCAGGGAAAATAGATTTACTTTGTGTGTGTGTGTGCGTGCGTGCATGCCTAGAGAGATGATAGCATAACTATAAAAATGTAACTGGGATTGATTTCAAGGTGTTGGGCTTTCAGCTGACTTTTACATTCCTGCTTAAATGTCCTCTGATTGAGTATTTTGTGATGAGCATTTACATTTTTATAAAAGAAACCCAGTCTTAAAGCTGTATTCATATTGAGGAAATGTTCTCTCATATTTAAAGGCACTCAGGCTCAAGACCTTTGGGTGGGAGGAGGAGTAGAGTCAGAAAATGTGGAAGAGGCAACTCTCCCTGGGGCGCTGATGACAAACCAAGTTCAAGTCCCAAAGGAGATGGAGAAAGGCTCTTCTGGGCCTTGGGGACAGAGCGACCTGGGTTTGTGTATTGGAAATGTCCATTTCTTATGACCTTGACCTTGGCCATGTGACCTTAGTCACAGACTTTATCTGTGTCCCAATTTTTCTTTGTAAATTGAGGAGAATACTATTGGGTCATTGTGCCTAATACATGACAGGCATTTAAACATTTTCCCAGTGAATGAAGAATGAACGAATGCATGCTTGATTCAGCGAAGTCACTTAGGTAAAGTCTGAGCTGTGTGACACTCAAGAACTGGTAGTTTTCTCCTTCTCATCCTTGTGTTCTTTTCCTCAGCCAGTGTACCTGGGGTGTGAACTTGGTAGAGTAGGGTTTTGATGGAGCCTGAGTTCCATGTTCCATGGTGTAGAGTCTTGTGTGGAGGTGGGTGTGGACTAAGCTACTGCTTGTATTTATGATTCCCTTTCCTCTTCTGTAAAATAGGTGTAATGACACATCAGAAGGCTTAAAGGAGATGATAAAGACTTCACATGATGCCTGGCAAATACTAAATGTTCATTGCATGTAGCCACTAATAAAAAAAGAGTATTCCCCAGGTTGAATAGGTGGTACTTAGTACGTGCTTCTGTAAATGGAGAGAATATTACTGAGTGCCTGACACCGAATAGGCACCTAACAGCTTGACAGATTCAAATAATCCGAGCACAACCCATGTCTGCATCCTGACTTGGTAGGAACTGGATCCAGTTAGCATTTGCTTTCATTATGAATGAACGCTTGTTGCAGGCATTCTGCGAATGTGCCCTTGCTAATGTAGTCTTCCCCAGCTAGGATTTCTAAAACAAAGAATGATTTACTATTTATAAGACGAGCCCCATGTGTTTTTCTTTACACAGATTGCCCCCCCCGGACTTAAGTCTAAATTGCCAGTTTTTAAAAATGTATTTTTTTTAACATTCTTGTACCTGCAGAGAAAACGAGGTGCTCAAAGTCCAACTGAAGAAATACGTAGGAGCTGTCCAGATGCTGAAAAGAGAAGGTCAAACTGCTGAAGGTGAGGGGGAGACTGAGCCTGGGTGGGAAGGGGGCCAAGCTTTTTCACCTTCATAGCCCCTGTGCCTGGTACACAGGAGCCACTCAACATGGGATGAGTGCGTATGCAAATGAATTAGAGAAATAGTGCTGGTCAGAAACTCTGGAAAACAAATTAGATGGAACATCCTGCTGTGTATTCTTGGTACATGCATAACTCATGTCCTAAGACTTAGTTGCTGGATTACTAGCAACAGTTGTATTAATTTGTGTGCCTAGGCAGTTTTATGTCTGAGGTCTTGAGATACTTGCCCGGTAGAGAACCTTGCAGCATGATTAAGTCCCATCAGGCCAGTGGTGAAAGCAATAGAACCCCAAAGTGGTGGAGAACCCGAGCTGTGGAATTAGGCTGACCTGGTTCCAACCCCAGTTCTGGGTAAGTTCTTTCATCTCTCCATACCTTAGTTTCCCCATCTGTAAAATGGGGTTAGTTGACAGTCCCTACCTCATGAAGTAATCCATGTAGACTTAGCATAATGCCTGCTATAGGGTACGTACTGAGTAAATTTTAGCTGTTGATATTATTAGTCAGAAATACAAGTAGAAAAATGATCACTTGACCAAGATTGCACTCAAGGAGGTGATGGCATACGCTTCGCCTCTCTGCATTTTGGCTACAGTTTAACTGTCACGAATCAACTAAAACTTGTCTCAGTTTGGCTGGAAGAAAGTATATTTCACTTTGGCTGAAATGTCTTGCAGCCTTCAGCCAACTTACCATTAAGAGATTTCCTTAAACACAAATGAGCTCTTGGGGTGTAGACATTGTAACAAAGGGGTGGACCCTGCCGGCTAACAGGTCTTGGGAGTCTGCCAAACCTGCATTTGAATCTAGGCTCACCCAGTATAATTTGAGGCATTGGAGTTATTTTGCCATCTGTAAGTGGAAACATCCCACCATTGTCAATGGAGGTCGTTGTGAGGATTTACTGAAACAATGAATGTGAAGTTTCCAGTATGGCACCTGGCCTGTAATTGGTGTTCAGTAAATGGTAGTTATGTTTCTTTGTAATAGAGGGAGACAGGATTGGAGGCAGGATGTGGTTTGCATACTAATAACAGAAAGGCTTGAATTTTGTTTAAAGCTTTTGTGTTGTTTATGGTCTCTGTTTGGCTTCACCGTCTTGGTTATTATTATTAATTTTTTATCACATGCCTTGCTTGGTTCATAATTGGTCTATAACTGTTACCAGTCTAGGGGTTATCATTGCAGAATTAATCATGTCTTCCTTGTGGGCTCGTCACTTTTTCAAACAGACACTGCTATTATGGCCCTGAATCCATTTCACCATGTGTTCTGGGGTTGTCAGTCTTTTGACTTTGACTCCCCATCTTTGTTTCCCCAGCACCTAGCTTTTGTAGTTGCTCATTCCATCCATTACGTGTTTTGAATGAGTAGTATTTGTCTACCCTTTACCCTTTCCGGGCAGCTTCAAATCTGTTTCCTTTGGACTTTGTCACCCTGTGAAGAGTAGGTATTTTTCCTCTATTTCAATTTTTTGATTTTTCTTTATTTTTTAGAAAGTTCATTATTAGAGGCTTAGGAGAGCTTATGGGGCTCGTACGTGTATCTAGGGTGGAAGTGAACTCAGGTCATTTTCCTCTGAATCCCTGGTTCTTTGCCTTACAAAGTTCTTAAACTAGAGTCCACAGAGGGCATTACCTGGGGAACTTACTAAATATGCGTGTTCTCAGGGAGGAAGAGCGCTGCTCTTGTCGGCAGTGGTTTCAGTGGATCTAGGATGGGCCCCACGGCTGCACGTCCAGATACCTGACTCTAATGCACGTGATTCATGGATGGCACCCCACCGCCTTTTGAGAAATCCGTACTCTGCTTGCTCAGAACTAAGGTTCAGGGCAGTTAAGAATATTAAACCTAGGAAAAAAGAAGCACTGTTTGGCTTGTGTTTGATTGAAAAACATCAACACTCTAAGATATGTTTCAGAGTATGAGCATTATTAGAGTCCTTCCCCTGGCACGTGGGTACCTGGAACCCACAACGTACAGAATAGCTTTCTGCGGCAGCTGTAGTTGCTCGTCCTGAGACACAGCCTGGATGTTCTGAGCCCAAGTTGGGGATGCGCCTTCAGGATGCTGAGACCGCCCTGGAATGGATCGGAGCAGAGACCGTGTGGAAGGTCCTGTACTCCTTGTGACAGCAGTCCTTACTGCTGTTCATCACTGTGAAATTCAAGACCATCTACCTTCTCAGTGGGTCATCTGTCACTGCAAGGTTTATCTGAAAGTCCTCGAGTGTGGGCGTGAACTGGTGGCTGCTCTGATGTGACGTAGGCCCTGTAGTTCACGCCTTTCGCTCAGAAACACTAGTGAGCGCCTGCTCTGTGCCAGGCACTGCGGAGCAGTCTCATGAAAAGGTACTCTTTCAAGGAGCTTCAACCTAATTTTCACGTGACATCCTCTATTAGTCAAGCAAATTGGGGCTCACTCCTCCTCCCCAGCTAGTTGCTGACTCATGTTGAACTACTGAGTGTGTGCCCTTGTCAGGCTGTGGTAGCTTGGGGTGTCTTGGCCAGGCTGGGACGGCCAGGGCTGTCTGGGGAGTTGGAGGAGTAGGGGGAGGGAGAGAGGCCTTTCCCATTCGTGATTTCCTTGGCTCCTGGCGTTACAGGGGTGGACATGGAGATGTATACCAGCTTTCTAAATTCTAGGTGGGAGTTCAGAATGCATTTTCCACAATATAAGCCTTTTAGTTTGAGGTTATAAAGATTCTTTTTATCGTTTAGCAACAACTTCTTTATGAAGGTGTGAGCTCTCATCAGTAGGGAAAAGTGTGAAAAAATAATTTGAAGCCCCAAATACCTTCAGGGTTGAATTTATTGCTGTGGCTTGTGTTGGGACCCCCACCTTCATTGTTGTGGAAACATGCCTTCAGGATTAAAAAAAAAATAATGGACCATTAGAATGGATTGTTACAACATTTAATTTTGTAGATCTCAGATTCCCATTGTCGTCCTTTTATTTATTTATTTTTTTAAAGAGTAGTATTTTCCCTCTAAGAAAATGGAGTTTTTTGTTTTTGTTTTTTTTAAGATTATTTATTCATTTGAGAGAGAGTGTGTGTGCACAAGCAGGGGGAGCGGCAGAGGGAGAGGGAGAAGCAGACTCCCCACGGAGCAGGGAGCCCAGTGGGGGGCTGGATCCCGGTACCTGGGGTCATGACCCGAGCTGAAGGCAGATGCTTAACTGACTGAGCCACCCAGGTGCCCCAAAAGTTAAGGTTTAATCAGCAAAATAATAGGATTTTGGGTGGCCTCATTAACTAACTGAAGGAATTTTTTTTCCTAATGTGGTCCAGAAGTGTGAGGTTGGGTTATTCACCACTCGAGTGCTAGTTGGCCTTGCTGAGATCTGATTTCCCAGAAGCTTATGCCTTCCATTGAATATTTGGATCTCTGTCATCCTGGCGTGTACTGTCTGCTCCCCATCTAGCCTTTGAGCTGTGGCATGAGGGCTGCCATGTCCACAGTGAACTGGCTTGACCGTTAAGCTTGCAGTGCGGCTCTTACTTGGTGTTTAATCGGTTCTGTTAAGGAATTCAGACATTGTTCCTCTCCAGCACAGGGTACTTTCCCTTACTGAGGGAGAGCAGAAGATGGCTCTCCAGACTCATGTTTCCATCTGTGGCTTCTCTGAAGTTTGAAACCTAATAAGTCAAGTTGGCTTCTTGCCTGGAGAAGGCCTTCTGGCAGCTCCCCGAGGGGTCTGAGGAGCAGGCAAACCCACTCAGATACTTGCTAGGGTGTGTGGATAAGACTGGCTCCTTCTCTCAAGAGTGGACTCAAATTGGCCAAGCATGCAGAGAATGATGTGTAATCAGAAGAGCAGTTTATTCAGTGGTTAGTGAGAAAGCAGATGGCAAGTAAACCAGGAGCCCAAATCTGATGCTCAGGCCCATCATTCCTTTGGGCTTACCAATTTGGGGAGCTGGAGTTTCCCCTGATGGTGGCCTGTTGAGTCCGAGAAGGGGGAACTAGTTCGGTGCTTCATCTGTTGAGCATCCTGATGGCTCCCACACTGGGTAAGGGAAAGGTCTCGGTGCTGCAAGCCCATAGAGATGATGTTACCTGGCTCTTTACATGGTCCTTTTTCTTTTTTTCTGGCTTGTGGTTTAACAGGGTTCTGTGCTAGTTCTTTCAGGTGGTAGTTGATGGTGAGAGAGAGAGTGTGCGTGTGGGGCTCTTCCGTGAGATATTTAGATATTTTGTACTTGTCTCATAACCAGTAGTCAGCAGATAACTTTGTTTCAATTTAGAGATGATCATTAATCTTTGCTTGTCTCCTTTCCCCTCTAGTTCCCTGTAAGACATAGACACAGGATTCTCCAGGAAACTCCAGCTTGACCTGTAGCCACAGTCCCCCTTCCCTAACAGACTTCCACCCAGGTGTAGACCCAGGGACGCCCCTTGTGAGGGGTTGTTGGGTCTGTAGAATTCTCACCCAGTGTGGACCGAGAGAGAAGAAAGTCCATGGGGGTAGGTAGTTGACTTTTTAATCAACTCCACCCAATTGAGAATCTCACCAACCAGCTCTGAGGCGTGGGGAGTGAGGCTGAGCGTATTTGGCTGGTGGAAGTCTCCACGGGGAAACGCAGCCCCTGGATGGAGGCGCTGTGCTGAGAGCCGTGAGGACTGCAGCTGGGGAGAGGCCTCTTGAGGGGGAAATCCTGGCAGGGCTGCGTCGCAGGCATGGTGTGGCGAGTGGCACCTCCTCCATTGCATCAACCATCTGGAGAAATAAGGAAGGCTTGTTCCGCCAGGGTCCGTGCGTCTTTGTCCAAGGTGCCATTTCCTCCTGAGCAAGTGGCCCTGTGTGTGGCCCATGAACAAGACGCTCACAGCCACAACACTGGGGAAACCGGCACTCCAATGGTCCTAGCAGCTCACGATGGATGTGGGTGGGTGAATGACTTCTGTGGAAGGACACTGTGGACTCCTCTGCACAACTGACAGGGGCCATGTGACCTTTCTGTGACTCCGTTTCTTCCTCTGTAAAACGGGAATTGCAGTAGTGACTTCCTTACGGGGTTTTAGGGAAGATGGAGGTGGGTTAGTACACGGGAAGCAGTCAGCATCCTGTCTGACACCAGGCACTCAGTACATACTGGCCACTGATGCTACGGTCACTACCTCTGCCTCTCTCAGCCCTTTTGTATGATCCTAAAATTAGGATGAAAAGAGTGTGTACTTCTTGGGCTGTTGTGAGGATAAATAATAATTAAATGATGTCGTGAAGAGAACATGCCTGTATCTGGCTCTGGGATCTAGAAGATGCTCTGGTAGACAGAAGAAGGATGGTCCCCTAGGGACGTCCATGCCTGGTGCCCAGGACCTGTGGATATGCTGCCTTAAGGGCCTTAAGCAGAAGGGACTTACTGGACGTGGGTGAGTTAAGGGTTTTGATGAGGGGAGATGATCCTACTCTATCCAGATGGCCCCAGTGTAATCACGAGGGTCCTTACAAAAGGGAGGAGGGCCAGGGAGGGAGAAGATGTGACAACAGAGGCTGGAGTGAGGCCGGGCCCCAAGCCAAGGAGTGTGGGCATCTTCCAGAAACTGGGAAGATCAGGTTCTCCCCTCGAGCCTCTAGAAGGAGCACAGCCCTGCTGACGGCCTGACTGTAGACTGTGAGACATTCGAGACTTGGGGCATCCTGAGCTCTAAGGTAAGAAATTTGTGTTGTTCTAAGCCACAAAGTTCATGGTCGTTGGAGCAGCCGTGGGAAACCAACACAGGGGGTGAGTTGAACTGAGGTATTAATTTCACCCCTGATGGGTATGGGGACCATCGTCATCAATGTCTTACTCCACTTGTAGTGGGAGGTTGAGGTTTCGAAGGTTGGGTGTTGAGTAAGGGGTCCCCAGATGGACGAAATGGGACATCAGGGAGATCTGTGGCCTTTGAGTGGCAGCACACGTGGGACAGGAAAGCCCACTGTCCTGACACGTGCCTGTGCATGGCATGCTTGTCTGGCCCGGCAACGGGAGCCCTTACCCCAGGCACACACTTGCCCTACCTTGGGGTTGCCGTCACCAGCCCCTGTGGGTGATCACTGTCACCACCTGCTCTGGACACGGGAGGTGAGGCCTCCACGCTGCATGGTGGGGCCTCGCTGTCTGGTGGACCGTTGGTGTTACTCTTTCTTGGTGTGGTCGGTGGTGGGGTGGTCAGTGGTGGTGGGGTGGCCTGTGGTGGTGGGGTGCGCAGCTGCGGAGGCCAGTGTCTCAATGTCCCACAGGAGGACCTTCTTACCACGTCTCCTGCTCAACAGAACCTTGCTTGGTGTTGGCTTCTCTTGGGCTCGCCTGGGGAGTGTTTACCTGGGAATCGGAGCTGGCTCTCAGGACTGAGGGAGAGGGCTGGTGCTGCCAGGGACACAGTTCTTTCCTGTTGGGCCGGGAAGGCTGGGGCCACTGTCATTCTCTTGTGTCCATGTGAGGCTGTCGTGTAGAGGGAGGAGCCGAGCTGGGTGGCGGACAGGAGCTGAGGTGTTGGAGCCCCTGAATGCAGCTGTGCTTGACAAGGCAGCCTAGCCTTGAGCTTTCTGTTACTAAGAGCAGTAATTCAACCAATCTCCCCTGCCTGCTTTCAAGCTTGAGTTTGGGTTTCTGTAGTTCATATGCTCATGGCAAACTGTTAGCTCTTTACTGGCTATGGAGTCAATCCTGTCCTTATGAGGGGCTCTTATTTGTTGGAGTCGGTTTTTCTGGATGCTAAAGTGTCTGGTGTGTCTCGTGAGGCTCTTGCCCCTGCCCTCCCTCTCGTTAGGTACCTTCTGCTGTCCTCCTCTGCCTTGGCCACCATATCTTATTCCCTGGGGATGGATTTAAGGCAGCACGCTCCTGTCAGTGGCTCCATTTAATTAATCTGTTGTGGGTTCAGGGATAGAGGGAGAAGAAAATGGCCTGTTGCTGGTGGCTAGTGGAGTCATCAGCGGCAAGGCAGGAGGTACAGTGGGAGGAACCTGACAGATGAGAGAAGCTTGGGAGCAATTTAAACAAAGTTGACTCTAAGAAACAGAAGAAGTTTAAAAGAAACAAAACAAACTGATCCCCTGTTCAACACTGTATGTGCTCCCTGTCCTCACGGGCTTCTGTTTACCTGGGCTCCAAGAAAATAGGGCAGGACAGTTGAAACCCCCTGATTCGGTGGAGATGGATGGCCATGGGCGAGGGGGTTCCTAGAGCCTTCATGTGTCTTGGGCATGTAGGGTGTAACTTTGTGTCCTGCGGACTAAACCATTGCAGGTTTGGGCCGTCTCCACTTGAGTGGCCTCACATTCCTGCCCCTGGTGACAGAGGCAAAGCTGTCTTGGTCTGAGGTAGGCTTGGGTTGCAAGGAAGCTCATGACTCTGTGTATGTGCTCCTGTCTGGTTGCAGTAGGGTAAACGTGGAACCTCATGGAAACATAAGATCACATCAGTCTGCTTTTTAAAACCCACTCCAGACCTTTTGATGATGGCCTCTAGTGCTGGCTGTGGTCTGGCTCTTGCCATGTTCCATCCCCACCTCCTTATTTCACCCTGGCCATCAGGCTTTTCCTCAGATGCACCAGACTGGTTCTTAACGCAAGTGCCTCAGTCCCTCTGCTGGAATGCTCTTTCCCGGTGTCTACATGGCTGATCCCAGCCTGTCAGGCAGGTCTTTGCTCAGCAGTCACCTTCTCTGACCACCTTGTGTCATGTTGAATCTTCTTGCTCATTTTTTGTGTTACTTTATCTTCATCACAGAGCTTATCGGTATGTCGGAGTATCTCGATGGTTCACCCCCTTTGGTGTTTGCCATCTGTGCCCTGCACTGCCCTCTACAAACCACAAGAGCAGGGACCTTGTCTGCTCTTTTCCCTGCTGTGTTCAAAGTGCCTTGAGCAGTCCTTGACCCGTGGTATGTGCTCCACAAATGTTCATGACATGAATGAAGAGACATTTCACAGGAGCTGTTGTAGGACCCGGCCGCATGGCACGTAGGTGATGGAAGACCCATGGCAGCTCTGGAGAGCACAGCCGTGGGCGAGTTGAAGGGGCTTCATTCCAGCGGCACACCAGCCATGTGCCAGACCCCACATGACCCTTCCTACGCTTGCGCCTCGAAGCAGATTCTTCTCACCACACACAGTTTTGTTTTTTGTAACTACAGTTTGCATATGGCTTCCCCTTTCCTATGGTTTCATCATTCGGAGTTCTTGACTACAAGAGTCATAAAATCCAGTTTTATCTGGCCTAAAAAAATGTTGAAGTGCCTGTCTTCAGAGATGTCTTGATCCAGGGGTTCCAACAATAACAGGAGTTCCCCCCCCCCCATTTCTCAAGTCTGTTCCTTGCTCTCCCCAGTGTTGGCGGTGTATACTGGTATGTGTTTAACCACCAGTCATCTGGGGGAAAAGGGCATGATTTAGGGTGCTTGCTGATTGTCGTGGTGTAAGTGCTCCCACTGTGGCTGATTCCTGGCTGCCAGCACTGTGTCCCTGAGGGCCGCGCTGGGCT